CCTTGCAGGCAGTTGTGTGCTGTGGCAGCCTCTTATGTATGGTTCAACAACTCTCCCTCACTTAGCTTCTCTTCATATCTAATCAATTAAACAGAAAATCTGACTTTCGAATATAATAATGTTGGAAAACTTGTCATTTACTTTGAAGAAGCGAATGGAAGGGATTGCCTTGGAGCTCTGGCTAGATTTATACCCATAAGTCCTCAGCACAACGTCCTAGCGCCTTTTCTTGTCTTCATGATTTGTGAGTCATCCTAAAGCATGGTTTCCTGCTCTGGCAGAGTCCTAATGTTGGACGAAAGTTCAGCAAGGATTCATCAGAGTCGGGAAATTTTGAGACGAGGACTTATTTGCACATATCAACGGCTACAGCTCCTAGAGCATCCTCCTCTGGCTTTCATTTCCACTCGCCCTTCAAATGAAATTAAAGGTACTACAACACGAGTCTTATCAATGATATGCTCTTTCCTGATATGCTTATTAAATAATTATTGCTTTAACGCTTTTACACCCTATAATCTTGTTTATATCTTCCGCCAGTTGGGTGCAAGTCATTATCCTGTCGATGCACACACCTTTTTTCTCATTAACTATATATTTGGTTCAACTTCCGAATTTTTTACAACTATATCCCTCAAGAACATTATCAGATTGATATCTAGATGTCGACTTGTCATAAAATGAGCTATTACTTTCTTTTCTTATTTGCTAAAATATCCTTTAAATAGACGCGCTGTTTTTATTCCGCCTTATCTTATTTAGGTGTATGAGCTCTTAAAATCAAAACACTTTTTGATCTAAACTACATTGCTTCATAATTATTCCCTTCTAGCTCTTATATACTGCACCTTGTGATTACCCCATATACAACTAAACTGACAAATTAAAAGTAAGGTGAAAACTTTCCGAACCTCCTTTCACCAATTAACATTTTGTGTAATTTGGTAACGATCATGTCATTTTTCTTCCAGAGGGTCAACAGCCTGGCCTCCGCGTGGATATGATTGAAGCGAGTACTACCACACTACAGTTGCTGGCGCAGCGAATTAATTGCCATGCCATCTTCTTGCGCGACCGAGGCGTTCCTGCACCAGCCCATAATGCCGAACCTACTATTTCAGCACTTTCAGCTTCAAGTACTGTTAGTCATGTGTCTCAACAGAACTCGGCGTCCTCTCCGGATATCGGTATTATCCATCCGCCGATACTCCCTGTATTGTCGTCTGAATTTAGGCCCAAAAGTTTGTGGACATTGACTTTGGTTTACAATTGTTCTCCTATTTGTTTCCTTATCTTTTCTATTCGACTTGTGTCAATCTTGCATCTCCGCTATTTATCTTCTTCATTCTTCGCTGCCTAATTTATTCCATTTTTAAAAATCTTTGCACCGCTTTTACTATTTGAAGTTTAATCACTTGTATCCTAGCTGATCTTTCAAACAGTTCTTATATTTATTTTTTGTATTTAATTAGAGTTTCGAGACTACCAGTAAATCAGTAATATGTGATATATTCACCCTATTTCGTTTAAGCTCATGAAGGACTGATAGTAGAACTTTCCCACAATGATATAGGTAGATCCGACGTTTCTATTGCATTTCACAGAGCCTTGCTTTACTAAAAGTTGTTCTCATTCAGGGCGGACTGCAGTTTCGAACTCGCATATGTCTTATCAACACCCCCTGCGGGAATCGAACCGTGACAGTGCAGCATGTGAGCTTGGCATGTTAACCACTCAGCCACATTGCCACGAGTACCCTCCGGTCACAGGGCAGATGTAAATTTTAAGTAATGCCATGCCTTTTCCCATATCACATTCTTTGGTGGGATAATGGATGAAGCAAACGTATTTTTGCGATGACAATCTACTACATTACTTATTTTCCGTATAAGTAGAGTTTCGAGACTACCAGTAAATCAGTTTAATGAGATATTATATGGGGAAAGGTCTGGTATTTCTTGAAATTCACATCTGCGTTTTGACCTAAGGGCACTCGTGGCAATGTGGCCGAGTGGTTAACGTGTCAAGTTCACATGCTCCACTGTCACGGGTCGATTACCTCTGGGGGTGTTGATATGACATATGCGAGGTCGAAACTGCAGTCAACCCTGAATGAGAACAACTTTTAAGAAAGCAAGGCTCTGTGAAATTCAATGGTAACTTCGGCTTCACTTATATCATTGTGGTAAAATTATACTACCAGTCCTTCATCACCCCTAAACGAAATAGGGTGAATACC